GCAAAGAAAAAAAAAACACAGGAGAAATGTTTACACCGTTTTGGGAAGCTTTGCCCATTCTGAGCTCTCCGCTGTGCATTCCCGCCGCTCACCTGGAGCCAGCTCTGGATGCCCTCCCCGCGTGGCGAGCTGAAAAAAGGAGGAGGTGTGGGTGCTGTTTCTTGGACGGAGTTAAATCGGCTGCTGTTTCCATCAGACAAGAACCGGATCTGGCACAATGCTGGGAAATTGGGAAGGGAAACTGAGGAAGGGGTATCAAGAAGGGGGATGAGACAGGTAAAGGATGCAATGGTGACAAACTTAATTCAACTCAGCTGTTATCGCGAAACCGTATCCTCCGTATCTTAGGAAATCTAAACCCCTTTCTCCTACAAGTTAGCCTGTGATCACAAAGCCACATGAAGCACCTGAGTCTGTTTTGCCATCTATGACATGGGACTAATAGGTTTCTGTATCATCATTTTATCTAGTCTTAATTTAATCTAAATACATCCTTACAAAAGAATTTTTCAGGAGCAAAGACAAGTGTTAAAATGAAAAGCCAGACCCGTAAAACCAAACCAGACAACCAAAGTCCTGGCTGCCCAGACGAACTGAAATACTTTGAACCACTGAATTATTCATTTTGTTTAGAGCAGAATTTACAGTTATTTTAATTTAATCTTTGCATAAAGCATATACTTAAAAAGAAAGCCCACCACCATCCCCCCGGTTTTTAATGGCACTCAACAAGAGTGCTTTAAAATGGGTGCATAGTCATTGATTCTGCTGCCAATCGTAGATGGTTCTTTAGTAACAATTTGCCTGAAAAAGCAGATAAACCTCAACTCCAAAATATGATTAGAGGAGAAGCAGAAATCACATATTCAAAAAAAAAAAAGAAAAGAAAAAAACATAAGACATAGTTTCATTAAAAAAAAAAAAAACAACCCCAAGGGAATTTTCAATTTCATATGTTCTAGTGAGAGGTGTTGAAAGGAAGTAAAGCAGAGAGGAAAAAAAAAATCTTTGGGACAAGATGCAACAAAGAGGAACACAGAACTGAACCAGAAACAGACTTGCAAGTGTAACCTCAGGTTTTAACGCATACGATTACTGTAGTCTTAGCTCTGTTCCCAAAGGAGGGCAAAGCCACACGACAACAGCACCACACACAAAACTCAGCATATTTCACCAGGAGGAGGCTCAAGAAGAGAACAGGTCAAGGTTGATATCACCAGCACAGCAGAGAGAGGGAGCTTGCACTGCAGTTGTCTGAACCACACCTAGTCTGCAGTTAAATATAGAACTTTACTTTCTGGAACTATTGCTCCTCTTAACCTTCAGATCATAAATATTCGGAGAGATATTTAGAAAAAAAAAAAAAAAACAGAAAGGAGACAAAGGGAGAAAGAGACTTTCTGAATCTATTGTCCGAAACCTAAGCCTAGCAACTAATAAACTATCCTGGGAGAATTTCCAAAAAAGCAGTAAAGACTGGAGAATTGAATTACAGAAACCGCAAGCAGCATTCTGGAAATCCAGTATAAACCAATTAGTTTCTTTAATACACATACCCTGTAGAGAGAACACTTGTGTCCATTAGCCATTTAAGCATATGTGCTGGCCTTAACTCTGATCTTCCTTGTATAGGTTGGCACCAATATAATAATTAATTGCATTGGCATTCTCGTTGATTTATATCTCTAAAAACAGAGAACTCAGCCCCATAGCCTTCACCCTTCTTGTCCAGTTCATGGGCCACATCCTGAGCGGCGCTGTACATTTCCAGCTGCAGGGTACATCTCTTTCCAGAAGCAAACCTCTCTAATTTCTCACAATCAAATTCAGATTCTTTCCTTGGAGAAGTGCTCTCAGCTGGTTTGACACACTGGCTTTTAGCATTTTTAGCATTTTTTAGCATTTTTTTAGCATTTTTGGCATTTCTCAACAGTCGCTTCCAAGTCAAAATCGCACGGCGTGACCCACCATATCCAACTCAAAGAGCAGCCCAAGTCTTTGGCCTTCACCCCAATCGCGCTTATATAGCTTCACAGCAAGGTTTTCGAAATTTACAGGAACCTGCATCACCTACGTAAGAGTTTCTGTTAATATCTAGAATCAACCCTCTTATCTTCAGGCATTTAACCAAGCCTCCAAAGCTAGGTCTCCCTTTTAGTAGCCAGAGAGCCAAGAAGGCGTGCATTGCCCTAATGCGTCGCATCATAGGGTGGAATTACCTTCAGGATCCCTATTTCTCGTGGCCGAATAGCTAAAAAAGCCTAGATGAACAGAGGACCCCAAAGCTAGGTGGGGAAGAAATCATGCCTGAACCCTCTGCGTGCACCAACAGCACATCAAGACAAACACAGTGCAACAGAAGTTGCATCTAATCAAGGAAAATAATCTCTTAAACTGGGTAAAATGCCTCCGCTCACAGTCAAAACCTTATCTGTTAGAGAAAAACGTAAACTACCAGATAAATGGAACCAGACCACATGCAATACCCCACGCTGTTTACGGGCCAAATGCTTCTTGCTGAGCCTATGACATCCAGCAAAGCTGATTTGCTTGGGTCAGAGAGCTAGGACCTGGGTTACCGTTCCTACCGGTCATCCGGCCTGGTGTCACGAGTCCCGTTACAGGTGTGCCTGGAAGACACTGGCAACTTTTAAGTGAAATTAGTTAGCGTCTTCCTAGAGCTCCTGAGAGAGCGTTTTCCTCCCACTGTTTCAAAACCTGTCATATAAAACAGCTCACTCATACAGCTCAACTAGGCCTATTAAAGTGTAATAGTTAAACAACCATATTCCCTGCTTGCTTTATAGTGCAGTTTTACTGCCATACAAAGTTTTTACCACAGCTCCAGTTCCATGTGCTCTTGCATCAAGGAAAGCTCCTCAGCCACGCTTTCCAGTACCCACCTATGATGCTGCGCAATTCAGTGTTTACAGCGACCTAGCAAGGGCTTTGCAAACTAGTATCGGAGCCAGGATTAAGGCAACGTGGCAGAAGTCTCCATTTAACAGCACAATAAAAAAAGAACCCCAGCAGCCAAGACCTCACAAAGCACAAGACAAGATGCAGCAAACAAAGTCAAGAACAGCAACAAAGAAGAAAGAGGGCAATGAAAATAAGATCGAGTGATCTTGTATCTTAATACACAACTTGACGGGTGTTACACGTCAACATCGATTTGTTTTTTTTCAACACACAAACCCAAATCTTTCTAACGGACACATACCAAACCATTACAGTTTGCCTGACCTCTTGAGAGCATCACAGCAGAGACTGGCTTTAGGAGATCAGAAGGAGGAAAGGGCAGTGTTTGCTGGCTTAGCTTTCTCCTGCTCTGTGTTTCCACAGCACCCAGCACAAAGGAGTCTACCGTACTCTCATGATTCAAACGGCAAATAATAGTAGTAATTGCACTTTGAGCCAGACAGAAACCGAGAAGGGAAACACCCACGCCCAAGAGAGCTCTAATGCTAGTTCGGAGTGACTAAGTATTTCACACAGGAGAATTAAGATGATGATGGTCCCATCTCCAAGGGGCATGGAGCGGTAGCATTTCATTCATCCTACATACTGCAACCAGGACAGTCATACAAGCAGGCTAGATATTGGTCCCACACTAGGCGTTGCACTGCCTGTATGGTTTCTGTGAGGGGGATGCTGCCCAAATGCAGACGCCTGTGTTGTCAGACCCCAGGACCAAATGGGACCTTGCATTAGCTGGGTCTAGCAAAGCAGAACAGATTTTAAACGTTTACATTATTCCCTTTGCGGAAAGATTCAGCCAAAGCTGAAAACATCAGTGCAGTGCCAAGACAGAATACGGAAACAAGCACTGGATACTGGCTTCAGTCCTGCAAAACCCCTCTGATGGCTGATAGCCTCACAGAAGTAGGTCCATCCTGCACATAAAAACACTCCTTGGTTTAAGTAAGCGTCAGTTCCCTGAGAGAGCTCAGTATTCGGTATTAGCTGGGGCAAAAGCAGGCATTTTCCTGCTCCTCATCAGTTCCAAAGACCTTTTTGCAAGCGAGGGAGGGGAAGAGGAAGCATTGCACAACGGGCAAAAGCACACCCTAAAAATCTGCTGGCCCAGGGCTCAGTGGAGTTACAAACCAGGGAGGAGGGTGGCACACGGAGAGCTTCGCCAGGTGCTTTCACAGACAGGAGGTTCCTCACGCTCCCATGTCAAGACAAAGAAAAAGAGGGGAGGGAAGAAAACTCCTCCCAGCCGTTCAGCCTTTAACAGAAATAAGCATTCATCCCTAAACTACCTTTGAGCTCTCTGGCCCTCTTCTATTATCCAATGTTATCCACAAAGGAGAGATTACTGTAAGCGGAGGGAAAGGCAAAGCATACAGGCAGCCGGGAGACCACGCTCAGAGAGCGCTTCGTCTCTGCGGGGCTGAAGTGCTGGGAGCTCTAATGATCACCTGCCTCTCTGCATATGTATTTGAAAGATCCACTTTGCTCTGTACTGTTCCTAGCTCGTGTAAAAGGACTGTAAGAGCCTTTCTGGACAAGGAATCTCTTGCTTGTTAGGCAAAGTTCTGCCCTTGTACAGCACCCTGAACAATTACAGTGCTGTAGGAATGCCAGAATCAAATATAACATTACCTGACACATTATGAGGAGAAATCAGCAAATTGAGAAAGGAGAAATGGACTGCACAGACCCCCACCAAGGCAGAGTCTGGATTAGATCGGATGAAAAGGTTGCTGCAAAAGCAAAGGAAGAGCTGAACACCAACACTCTCAAACTGAGCTAAGGACAAGATTGCTCAGGGGCTACAAAAAAAAAAAAAAAAAGAGACACTTTTTAAACAACAAAAGGGGTGAAATGTCTCCTCCTACTCTGCCCTCTAGAATCACATGATTACACTGGTTATTGGCTTGCGTGGTGCTAAAGCACACCCATGAAAATGAAGCTGGTGCTCACCAGAGCAGGAAAAAGTATACTTGAATTGGCTTTAAAATGCCCATCGCCGTAACCCCAAAGCGACATACCTTTCCATAACAGCCAGGCACTCCTTTCTCCATGTGAACCGACTGCCTCGCCGTAGTCTGAAGGTCCCAGAGGTAGCTGTGACTGGGGGAGGCGTCTGTCTCCATTCTGGCTCTTCTATTGGAATAGGAGCGGGTCTCATGCTTAACGTAGCCCCTAAGAATAATAAATACTGTGTTTCCTAGTGGACTAAAAGTCATGCTCATTTTCTCACTCCTGCTCATGAAAAAAAGACAAGACAGATGATGAAACCATTCAAACTAAAAACGTAAAGCATCATCACACAAAGACACCTTAAAGACACAAAAAGCCAGACAGAGTACCCCTTCCCAACCTCCAAGCCTGGAGAGATATGAGGTGACCTAAGGAAATCTAAGGGAAGCATAACTCAGCCCATTGTCTTTGCTGACAGTCGCTTTGCAAAAGCTATCCTGTCTTCTTCAAGAGGAAGTGTCGTACAGAAGGAGTGAGCTATGCTCCAGCTGGGATTTGTTTAGGCTGTGCTGCTACCTCTTCTGCCACAAAGTGGGAAATTGCAGGTTTCTATTTAATTGTAGAGCAGTTGCAGGAAGCTAAGTGTAAGTTTATACCAAAGGTATTTCAACATGTCCAAAGAGTTGATTCTAGGCCGAGTAAATACTTGAAATAGCTCCACTGATAGAGACACACTCCGTGACCTGTGCAAATGTGGGCCCCTGAGTGCCAGGTTGCCTGAAAAAGTCTCTGACAGTACATTAACATCACACCTTTCCTCTTCTGTCCCCCTTCAATGGATAAATTTCTCCTATCAAGAAGCTGGAAAGCATCAAGTAAGAGAGATGAGACTTGGCACGGTGCCTTCAGGAAAGGCCCTTTGAAACTTACCCCTCATTCTTTCCACAACAGTGTCTCACTTAATAAATCAAGACAGACTGCGAGAGCAATCTTTCCTATATCCACTGGTGAGGATGGTAACCTGGTATGGCACAGTAGTAGGTAAGACAGGGTATGTTCTGAAGGACAGTTTTGTGCTCAGTGACTTCCCTTGGAGAGAAGAACGAACTGTTCTTGTATCCAAAAAGAAAAAGGTTGTACAAAAAGAGAAATCATCACTCATTTCCCCTATGCATACTGAGCACAACTGGAATTCATGTATTGAAGCAGCCTGGCTAGATACGTATTCCTGGAGAAGCAGGTGGCACTGCCAGCTCACAGGAGGAATAGAGCATCGGGCATATGCAAAAGCAGGGCTGAGGCAGCAAAGCCCTCTGGGCGCACAGACTTGCTCAGAATGCTTAGGATTTAGCCATAAAAACATATTGTGTTAGTAAAACAACACTGCTGATTTAATTTTGGCTCCTGTGATTTGTAACAGAGCAAATGGGGTTACAGGATCTTCAATTTTAACCTACAAACAAATCCCTGCAGTGAAAGAGCAAGGAATTAGTATTTATGCATTTGGCAGTGTTCTTTTGCAGAAACGCACGGTGAATATTTTCCTTCCTGCAAGGGCACTTAAAAACCTTCCTCTGGAGAAGTCTATAGGAAGTGAAGCCCACAATCTTTGCCTTGCACACGCAACTGATGGCGACTCTTACTAAGTCCAGCCTACGGAGCCTGCACAGATTACTTTACTGCCAGAGCTTTACTGCCAGCAGCTAGTTTTAGTTCTCAGCTTATTCCGCATATAGTTTTACTGCCACCCGAAATATTTTCTATATTGCCAATTTATTGAGAGGCCATTTCAAGGAAAGCTCCTTATCTACTCCTTCCAGTATTCACATGGCTTTGGGGTCTGGGTCAGTATTATGTTGCTGGACTGCTTTAGGTACCTTTCGAAAACTGGGTGGGGGGAAGAAAGCGTGTGAGGGAGGATTAGCTTTTCCTGCATTGTCTTAGCAAAATACCCTCCCCAGCTGAGAATTTACAGGGCAGATGTTATCTCTGCTGGTTCATAAGGAAGATTTCTCTGAAGCTGTTTTCCAGTTCTAAGGAAAAAGGGAAAATACGTGAGTATTAGTGATTCCTAACATCAAGGTAAGAGATGCGGAGCAATTATATTCAATTTGCTTGAGATTTGCAGACAAAGGTTGAAAAAATATCTGCATTTAAAGCACAAACTTGCTCCTGCTTCCTATATGTTCACTTTCTGAATATAAGATGCATTTTTTTTTGCTTTAGTAGCCTTGCTAGATCAACTTACCTATTTTCTCTTTTCTATAGAGTAACAGCAAAATCAGCAGCAGATAAGAGAGAAGTATGCTGAGAATCATAAGTACACACCACTGCTTTTGCACACGCACATAGATAGAAGCATCTGAACGAACGCAGAGGCACAATATGTGCTTGGATTTATCTGGGAGAGGCCGAAAGCAGCTGCCACAACGTCTGATAATGGCAACCACAGAGTTTTTCTTCTCTCCCTCAAATAACTAAGCCCTTTGGGCTCTTGTTTATTCTGCTGCTCCAAAGCATCACTCCAAACTTCTCTCTATCCAACTCTACCTCTTTACAACTTAATAAGTTACAGGCTGACACTAGTTTAGAGTCTTTTCACAAATCCCTCAAACCGCTTTTAACAAGAAGGGAAACGTCTCTCTTTCTACTTGAGCAGAACGAGAGCAGCAAATGCACTATGAGATTTCTGCCTTACTATATGCATCAAAAAATAAGACTTCTGTAAAGGGTGTAGAGGTGAACTGTTTAGGAAGAACTCCTTTCACAGACTGAAATGAAAAGTGACATCTCTCACTAGCTGCCAACGCCAAGTTATCTTTTGCAACAAAACAGTATTTCCTTTGTGCAAGCCAGTATTTTCTCAAATTTGGGGTGTGACTTGGGGAAAGTTGCAAGCGAGTTTTAGGAAGAGAAGATGAGTGATGTCTGTGACTGGAACGCAGCTCTGTCTCTCAATTGAAGATTCCTCACGACAAAGGCCTTCCTTCTCTCAGCACATCCTAGATACTTATCCAAAAGAAAAAGCGGTGTTTCTCCTAAAAGCGTCACATGCAATTGTTGGTTCACATCACACGGCTCCCAGAGGCACTGCGATACAGGGGTGATGTGCAGGACGGCTGGAGCAAGCCCCGGGCCATCTCCCAGCTCCAAGAATCTGTTTAGTAGCAAGTCTTTGCAGCAAGGACCTATCATATATTACACTGATAAGAACAGATAATCACACTTTAGTTTAGCCAGACTGACCTGACATCACATGATAAACAACTTTCAGTTAAAACTGAGCCAGGCTACATTTGAATCAGTAGCCTGCACAGCAAAAGGTTCCCTACAGAGCTCACTGCTTAGCTGGAAAGGATCAGAGAAGGGACTATTTTCAGTGAAGCTCTGTGAAACAGTAAATCACCAACAATACATTCCCTGTGCAAATCTCCCAGGATATCCAGCCCCTGATTTTTTTTTTTGCAAGCTTTTCTTTTATAGCTAAACAAGAGCTGCTATGGGAATAACACAAGAGATGCTACATCTTGATAATAACTACCTTTCTTTTTCCCTTTTGTTCAAGGAGAAAGAGCACACGGCTTTCTCCAAGGTGACCACAGCTGCCTTCCGGTTACGAGACTGGTAGAAAGAGAATATCCAGCTTAAATGGAAGCAGCCTGCACCCATCTGTAACTTCAACACATCGTTTCTCGATGCCAGCTTCAGTTTGCAGTGCACAGAGGCAAAAGAAATGCTAAAGTTACTCCGTAACAAACTTCCCACATTGCCCAAGACCCAGTGCCAGCTAAACTAATCAGGCTAACTATTGAGGCACATTTATTTATTTATTTATTTAAAAGCCACGGGTTCTGAAAAATTAATCAGAACGTTATAGGACTCTATGCACTCATATACTGGCTTCTGAAACCTATACTATTTATCTACAGCCAAAATGCTCTCAGCCCTCTACAAAACACAAGAGACATGGTGCCTGTCCAAAAAACACCCAATCTAAATGAAAAGCATCCCTATTAATTGGATTACAGAGCTTTCAAACGCTAACATTTAGCATTGACTTCTCCCCCTCAACAAAAACCTGCCTTCCACCCTAATCGGCAAGTGTTTCTAGAAAAATTTACAAGCACTAGAACATCGTAATTCACAGCACTGCCATTAACTCTACCAGAAAAACATAGATCAGGTAGTTTTTGAGCAAGAGTATTGCATTCAGCAAGAAAACAGGCTGTTTTCTGATCCGTGAGGCTTATGGCTCTTTTGTAACGTTCCAAACTGCTGTTTGAAGTTCTCTGAACAACCACCACCAAAGATACGAGAAATATAGAAAATATCCATGCAAACAAGCAATCAAAAGCACGCAAACAACAAAGAGCCTATTCCAAAGGGCAAAGAAAGCTGGTAAATAATGAAAGCTACAGAACTGCTGAGTCCTTTCTGTATTCTTAATAGCAGCAACGTCTCAAAACTGTTTGTCCTGAGGCTCCACAAAATGAAGTTCTTAGGTTAGCAGATGCAGGACTGACTGCTTGTGGATGATTTAAAGCATTATACAGCGCTGCTATATATTTGAAAGAAGAAAAAGAAAGTAACTCTTCTGATGTATATACAAGTCTTCTTTTGTCCCTTATACTATTGCAGAAATTCCTGGCTGGGTGCAGTATATAAGCACGGCAAAAGACAGCCCCTGCTGTGAGGACCTTACAGGCAAGGCAGGCATGTCATACAGAGGAAAGAGTCTCATCTTTATCTAGGAGACGGGAAAGCAAGGTGCAAAGCTGAAACCATTTGCTAAAAGTCATACAGAAAAACCGGCAGAGCCAAGAGAAGAGCCCAAGTCAGCCAGGTGGTCTCCAGTCCTTTCCTTACGAAACAACTATTCTTCCTCTCCAGTTCACAAACTGATTATACTAGGTTTCTTAGCCCTTCAAAACTGTTTCCATTTTAAGGGACAGTTCTCTTTCCATTACTACACACATGAATTCAGTCAGAAAATGCACCTAGTCTGAAGATCTATTTTCAAAAATAAGGATTAAAAAAAGAGTGGGGGGGGAACTAAACGCTCCCAAAGACCTCACTTTGCCCATTGGCAACTCAAAAGTGAACGTGCTCCTGCCCAGAGGGACCTTGAATGCACCTCTCAGCGGAAAAGGATTCAAATATTGCTCCCAAGAGCTGAAACTGTAAAAGACGGAATATGAGAAAAGAAAGCCAAGCGTCATTTTCTAGTAACTTTGTTTAGGAAAAAAAACATGCCACTCATTTAATCACTTAAGTTTTTTCCGAGCAGGACAATCTTTTATTGGATGTCTACAGAGAGCGACCAGGACTGCAGTGACTGTATTGCTCCATTGTGGGTATGGCAAGAGGCTCTAACGATTTTCTCATTTTCTGTCTCTAAAGAAGGCCGCAGAAAAGTCCAGTCAGGCCTATCAAACTAATCACAGTATACTGTAAATAGCCTCCAAAACTTAGGCTCCAAATTGTTCTATAACAGCAATTTAAATACAGGAGTCTTTGGACAAGGTTGGTATCTTTGTTAAGACGCTGTACATGCTGTCAGTACAAACGCATGAGAACCATCTCTTGGCTGGCCAGTCCGACCTGCCACATATTAGATGGCAAAAATTCAAAGCAGTGGAATATCTTAAAACGCATAAGTAAATACAATCACAGTTTCCTCAGGCAGACTTTTCCAATAGCTAGAAGAAAACTGAGAGGCCTCCCCTTTACCTGAGACTCTCAAAAGAAGCCATGTGTCATTTGGTTCTAAAGGGAATTTAAATGCATGAGAATAGTCCTTTGGCATTGGCAAGGGAGCCTTTTCACCTTTTACACTACTTGAAAATCTCTTAAGAGCTCTTACTTGCGAAACGGTTAAACGCATACAACCCCTCTTCAAGTAATTTCCCCCTGTGAATATAAAGAAAACTGAACAAGACCTCAGCAAGACAATGCATTAGAGAAGTGGAGGTTAATGTCAATTCATTTCAATTTAAGCTGTAACCGTCAATATTGCTAGTGTTCCTTCCTTAGGCACTTCTCAAGAGCAAAAGGACAAATAAGAAGGTGTGAGCTTGTGGATACGGGGAGAGAAAGAAGGTTAAGAGGCAGAAGTAGAGTTTTCAGTGCTCACTTTGATAAGGCTTCTCTTATCCCAGCACAGAATACTATTTCCTAAAAATGTCCAGGCAATACTGGAGAGAAAAGATTCACAAGACTATAGGAAACATCTACACATCTTCAGGTGAGGACTTTTGGGATTCTTCTAAAATGCACTTTCCAAAAGCTCTAGTTCTCTCCACTGTTTTGGAGGTAATACCCTCCATCAAAGGGAAACGGTTGGCAATCGCTCCACAGGGTACAGTGGCCTTCAGAGCAGCTGATACGGAAAGCCCGATCAGTAACTTTGCTGATCCTTAGCGTTACACCACCAGCTGCTGCAAAAGCAAGGCTCCTCTGCAATCGCAGCAGCTTGTCAGCACCTCACAGCCCTCGGCATTTTCATTCTTTAGAGCTGTTTTCTAGACACTTAACAGAAAGGACAGGCTCAACTCTGGCTTTGAACACATCCAACCTTAAGCTAAAGCATTCTCAGGCCAACTGACAGGCCCTGGAGCCTCATGACTTGCAGCTTATGCACAAAGCAGAAGTTTTGAGGATCTGTTTTCATTGGAATTTTTCTTGATACAATACTGGATATTGAAGCCAAGTTTATATTAGAGAGGATGAGTCTTAAATTTTTTTAATCATTGACACAGTTAAATTAACTGTGTCATTGCTTACAGGAAATTAAGGGTAAATATTATGACCTTTACAATGGAAGCGTTCAAGGGAAAGACGAGACCTCTGGTCAAACAAACACTATGGAGAAAAACAGTGCAAGGAAAAACTGCTTGTGACTTTGCATACTGTTAGTCTGTTAAAGACAAAGAAGAACTTTATTTCTCTTTCTATATTTGGAGGAGAAGTAGATGGGATTTGAGATACACATCTCTAACATCACTATGACCGTCAACATCCCATCCATGAATCTGAAGTCCAACCCAAAACCCCCTGAAGTTCCTTCAAAGTTCCTCTCAGCTTCAATGCAATTTTTTGCTTTAAGTTTATATTATGTGGGCACTATTAATGTTTTCTCTTTGTTCATGCTTAAGGGCCTTGGCATATATTTCAAGCCAGCTGACTGCACCTTCATCGACGGCTTCTGATTCCCAGGATTTAGCCAGTGGTGAGAGGACAGGCCAAGTCTCCGTGACTAAAGACCTGGGCAGACAGCTACAGATGAGTCAGCTCTGGATCATTTGCTGCAAGTGAAGCGCAGTTCTGTTCCTACCTTCCCTAAAAAGTAAGCTGGTCAGAGGGAATATAGTACACTGCCAAGGAGTGAATGATCAGTGATAATCAAAACAAGTGACAAAAGGCTTTTTTTCATAAATAAAACAGCAGGAGCTGTTTAGTCTGTATTTGTTTACCAGGATTTGTCTTCTCAAGCTGGTACCATCTGTAAAATGCCCTTTTCTTTTGCTCACTCAGGTCTGATCCCTGCTGCAACAGCCAATGGGAGATCCGGCTCTGACTGATACCTGTGGAAGACAAAAAAAAAAAAAAAAGGAGAGAGAGAGAAAAAGGAAGAGAAAACTTGTTTTTTTAAAAACATTTTGAAGTGATTTATATATGGATAAAAGGTGTTATCTTAAGAAGCCCAGGAACTCAAAGCTAATGACTTCAGTCATAGAAAAGATACAGAGTTCCAGCTTCTCCCCATCCTCTCCCTAAATGCTTTAACTTTTTGCTGTTATTATTTTCAGTCTTCCTCAAGATAAATTCTGGAAGCAGCACAATCAATCTACAAACAACAAGGACACAAACTGGGAAGTCAAATCTACCCCTGACTCGCCCTGTCGCAACTAAGAACCACAGCTTTAAATGGCTCTTAAATTTCTTCATCTGTACAACGGGAACAAATCCCTTACCCACAATTATATATCAAGAATGATACTTAGGAGATTACTGTCATTAAATGCTTGAATAAGAAGGGAGATAGACACAAAAGCAGTTCATGCCATATAGATCAAACCACCCTAGCAATGGAGCAAGCCAACTATGAGCTGCTATAACAAGGGCCAGAAAAGAAAACAGAGATCCAGGCAGGATCAGGGACAAAAAAGTTCCAGAGAGAATCCCAAGAGAGCATTTAAAATAAGATTTCTATGGAAACAGTAAAAAGGAAAAAATACCTAGAAGTTGATACAGTTATTTCAAAAGCATGACGCAGAATGCAAGAGCAACACAGAAAGAGGAAAAAAGCTGGTTAGAGGGAGAAGAACCAAACAAAGCCAGAAGTTTCACAACACACTACTAGTAGGGAAACTGCAGATTCATTTGAAAGTATCCAAAGTTGTTCCAAAAACCTATATAGTTTGCCGAATAACTAAAGCAGTATAGCAGGTAGGAGAACTCCCTGTGGTCTCAAGAAGGCTCTTCAGCTATCAGAAAGGGTTAACAACACATAAACTCTCCTGAGAATTAAAGTTTTAGGAGGTGCTCAAAGTAACAATATACTGCTGAACACCACCTGTGCCAACATCTGTCCGGGGGTAACACGAAGGCAAGGAGAAGGCTGGTTTTCACATAGAAATCAAACTACCTCTCGCCTCCTGAGACGCATGAAGGTTTTATAAGATCTCATAACCTTATTTAACTCACAAAAAACAAACCCCTGTAGTTTTACCGCTTCGAATAAGGGGTTTTTACTAGGCTTTTTCTTTGCATTGAACACAGAAGCTAGTTAACTTCAGAATGATTTAACTCAGATCTCAGGTGTCATATTCAGGTGGGTTTACTCCAGCCAGATTTTCAAAATCACAGGCTTTATGCTCTTAACTGTTCTTCATTATACAATATCCTAGAGCCTCCAAAGTTTTAACTGTCTTGTGGTGAAAAGGGATAGGTTTCAAGCACAGAAGCTCACTGGCATTCAACAGAGTTCTGCCCACAAGACAGATCCTGGCTTGTCGTTTTTTTTTTTTGTTGGTCACCTTAATACCTGTGCATTTGTTGGTCACCTTAATACCTGTTTGCAGAGACGGCCTTTGGCCCATCTATGAGAAAGCTCAGAAACAGCTAGGGCAGTCAGAATTGAATGTCCCCAGGGCCCACACTGGGATACATAATTGGGTCTATACCATTAGGAAAGTGGAATTATTCAGCCCAACACAAGTCTTGGATTCTGTCAATTTATTTCGAATGTCTCTCCGGAAGCACACAAGATAGTAAAAACAGAAATCAATGTAAGCTGACAAAACTCTCCAGCCCAAAATGAGGCCTCAGTCTGGCTGAAATCAGGCAATCTAGATGCCTGATTGGCAGTGAAAGGACCACGTTTTGAAAACTCGCAGCTTCCCATCCACTACTATGATTTATAAAAGCCATTTCTTTAACACAGTGCTGTGGGACACAAATGTTTGTCTCTCACTGCTTTTGGCTGCATGGCGCCTATTAATCAGTGGGTAACAGCAGCATTAATTTACTTGTTTACTACAGTCCACTTATGCTTATTGCACTGAATTAGTGTTTATTCAGTGTTGGGATAACGACACAAGATACAAATGCAAAGCATTATTTGATAAAAATTATGAATAGAGATTAAGTATCCTCAACAAGAGTCACATAGTGGAAAATCCAAATTCTGCCCAAGAGGCTGCCTGATACTGTTATAAAGTGGTACAGATGTTAGCCACTTCAGACAGCGTGCTAGAGACAGAGCAAAGGAGCAGGAGCCAAAAGATCCAGGCTGCGTATTGCCATGTTCACATGTGACTCACTGTGACTCCCAACATGTTATAAAGTCACTTCTGCAAAATAGAGCTTTGTAAAGGACACAGAGACATAGAGATTCAAGGAGAGCGCCGTTAAGTTATTTTTGATTAAAATTATAATATTAAAATTGTTAAATTATTTCTCATTGCTTTCTGAGTTGATTGATTTTTGTGTTATTATTTGACTGCAATATCTCATGGGCGGCAGTGCAGTCCATAGCACCTTACGCGTTAGCAAAAAGCCCGTAGCCCATTTTTCTTTTTGGCTAACCAACTTCTGTAGCAATGCGGCAAACCCAGGTAACATCTGTCAGGTACGGCTTAGGTAGCTGGTCTTGCTTTTGGTCCCAGGCACGGAGTAGATGACCTCTAAAGGTCCCTTGAAGTCCCATGTTCTGTCATTCTTTTCTGCTTTCTATTATTCTGTTTTCTTGTTTCAGAGACTGAGGTGAGAGCTGAGCTTTTTAATGGTTTCCTTAACCTATACCACTGCTCCTCTTTTTGCTTTTTAAACACAGAACATATTATTTTCCTGTATGTCAGCTTAGTTTACAGGCCTCAAAACTACATATTCCAACTGATTCAAGGTCACATGCAAAGGCAGAAGCAGACGAATTGACCCAGGATCTCCGAGATCCCAGTACAGTGTCTTAAATCACAAACCCATCCTTGGTCCTTTTCATTAACACCCTCCATCAAAATTGTCATGCCACAGTTTGTAGCATCTTAAGTTGATTTTATACAGTTGCCTCATAGGGACGATGACTAGTACCACCATCAGTACCATCCAGTCACATAGTCTGCAATCATGCTACTTTAGGAAATTGCACTGGCAGTCAAAAATAAATCATCCTGCTGCCAGAAGCAGATTAATGAAATAAGTTCTCTAGAGCACTGAAAATCCAACTTCCTTGAGGACATTCACTCTCAAGCTGAACCACGGACCTCCAGGAAGACTGACATCCTCTGGGCGCTGCCTCAGCAGGGATAGGAACACGCTGTAATGAGCACAGCTAGCTCCCTCACAGAAAATACTGGAGAAAGAAGTGGATTATAGCGAATCAAATGTTGACTTCTTGTGCCCATCATTCCTTCCCCTAGCAGGTTACAACGCAGAGTCATAAAAAAAGATTAAGACGACAGCACAGGCATGCTCCTCTGGCCAGCCCCACTCTCTCCCAGAGAAATTATTTTGGGAAAACTTCCCTTCCGAATACATGCGAGAAGTAGTAAAATGCATCATAAACAGAAGGCAACAGGTATCTACAGTGCAAACCTGCTCCTAACCCTCAAAACTGCTATTCATCAAGTCTCCGGTAACTAGTTTTCACCTTCACAGGTTGATTTGTTCTCTACCTCTACTTTGCATTTCTTTAATGTTTCTTTCAAGAGGGATTTTTAGAAGCACCTGGAATACGTCAGATTTGGAGAAGAAAGTAACTGACTGTGTCTAAATTCTTCAGTTTGTAAGCAAAGTCCTAGATACATATAATATGTGCTTGCAAAGGACATCTACCAATTTAGGAGATTAGCAAAGCTTGTTAACAGAAAACCTGCAAAGATCAAAATCATATAAAAAAAATCTTTCCCTCTGTTGTCACGAGTATTAAAAAACCCCCGAAGGAAAGTGTTTTTAAAATCCAGTTTCTCACTGTTTCAGCTGATCAGTAGTTTCCTGAATTCTCTTTGCGATGGAACCAGGCAAGTTTCACTTGGTTTGGATTTGCATTTGCTCAGCACCATGGTATTTAGGTTCCAGCACTTAAGGGATTTTATTTATGCTACAGCAGTGCTTCACTGCCTTCCATCTCACTAGTTGCTGTATGTGTTTAGTATAACATAAAGCTAAATCTTAAAGAGCTCAGATCAATTAAGACAGAGACAGTAGGACAGGGCTGAATTGCACATGAAGACTAATTGGGAAGGTTAGCAACACCGCTAACACATTGGAAAGCTCTGTTTGATGCGTACTTTTCAAAAGAAGCACCTCTAAGTTTTATCAGTGGTGGGGGTGTTTGCATTTTTTTTTTTAAAGTGGTGGGTTAATATTTATGGTACTAATCTAAGACTCGAGAAATCTTAATTAAAAGTCCTGCTCTGCCACAGGCTTCTTCCACTGTGACCTCAGGGAAGTACGTTTTTTTGTTCTTTTGCTCCCTATGTGTAAAAAATGGAAAAGGCAGTATTTCCAAGCCTTGCACAAGCATCATCCCTGAAAGCATTTGGCTGAGCTGCAAAGAGCTCATCTATATACATATTCCTCCTTCACTCCTTTATTGCAGTACCTAACAGAAAGACATTAGTTTCTGAAAACAACACCCCCATCTAAGCCTAAATGCTTAAATCAAGAGATAGCCTCATTTACTAAGCTTACATTACCTCTTTATCCTTTGCCCTCTGACCATAGCATACTTGGTGCCCAGATACAATTCTGGTGACAATTAAAGCAAATTACAGTGTACAACTTCAAATTATTGTTAATAAAAATTTAGCATCTCACCTGCCACCCCTAGGACTATATCCCTACCCCCAAGTAAACAGCAGCTATGTTAAAAGGAGCTTCAAATAACAAGATAGGAA